TATAGGGTGGGTTTGGTATTGCTTTTAGGAGAGAAAAAGCACTTATCCGGGAATTTTTCTTTGTTCCTCTCCTCTCCTCGTCGTTCGAAGCAGGTTCCCTCACTCCGTTCACCAGCCTCTCTCTCCTTTTACCAGGTCGTAACTTGCTTTATTAGTAGAATCTGTAAAAGAGTCTGTATTTAGCATAACTCTCCCATTTTTTATCACCCATTCTTATTATGCTACTAAAAAGAATAGTCCCCAGTAGAGGACAATGTGTTTTTGTTATCTCATTATTACTGTTCCACTAAAATAGCATAGTCCCAGTGGAGGACCATTTTTTTTACTCATGCTACTAAAAAACACATAGTACCCAGCAAAGGACCATGTTTTTTTGTTTCTCATTCTTACTACGTATTGTCCCTAGTGGAGGACCATGTTTTTTCGTTACTCTACAGACGGCAATGAAATCAAGAAATCAATGGTTTAAGAACAGAACGAAATGAAATCAATGGTTTAAGAAATCAATGGTTTAAGAAATCAAGAATGAGGCCACGAGAGTCTTGGACGGCAATGAAATCAAGAACAGAACCAAACACAACTTTTGGTAGCAAAAAATGCCTTTTTATCACCAAAATAAGAATTTGGTAGCAGAATCATGTTTTCTGCTAACAAAATTTGGTAGCAAAAAATTATGTTTTTTGGTAGCAAAAACTTGATTTTTTGCTACTAAAATTTGGTAGCAACAAATTATGCTTTTGGTAGCAAAAACTTAATTTTTCGCTACCAAATTTTGGTAGCAGAAAACATGATTCTGCTACCAAATTCTTGGTAGCAAATGTTATATGTTTTGCTACCAAAAATAATTTGGTAGCAAATACCTCGGGCGGGAAAAAAATTTGCTTCCCGCCAACTTTTTGTTACCAAAACATTTTGGTAGCAAAAAAGTCATATTTTGCTACCAAATTTTTAGTAGCAGAATCTTATGTTTTTATTACTAAATATTATTTTGGTAGCAAAAAGCTCTTGACGGGAACCAAAATTCTTTTCCCGCCATGTTATTTGTTACCAAATTATATTTGGTAGCGGATTGTGTTATTTTTGCTATCAAATTTGATAACTAAAGCCTTGATACTTTCAGCTACCAAAATTTGGTAGCAAAAAGTGTATTTTCTGCCACCAAAAATGTTTTGGTAGCAAAGGGTTGGACTCTTAAAGTCACTATTCTTGTAGTGCATTCTAATACCATATACCAATTTCTTATGTTGAGGTCGGAAGTGCTTTAGTGAATAGATTAGCCATATTGTCGCATGAGCGAATTTTTGGAACGTCAATATTACCATTCTTTTGTCGCTGATGTGTGAAGCAGAACTTCGGCGAAATATGCTTGGTTCTATCACCTGTGATATATCCTCTTTTTATTTGAGCAAGACATTCTCGACTCGCTCCATCTAATGTAAGTAATTCAGCATGATTTAATGAAGCAGTAAAAATGTTTTATTTTCTAGAGCACTGTGACGTTGTTGTGTCACCACTCGTGAAAATATAACATGACTGCGATCAAACTTTATGTGGATCAAACATAATGTATTTAAAATATCGGGTAAACACGTTAAATAACGTCCAATATGTACACATAATAAATCACAATTCTATTGCATCGAAAACATTTAAATCATACCATGTTTTATTTTACTTTAGCATCCCGAGCCTCATCGCGATCACCAGTGTTAGGTCCGTTTTTATCCTGGTGTCACAAGTGGTGTTACAACACTTTACTGTAACACTTTTTGTGACAGAAAATCTAAAATTAAACCAGCAAAATAGTAAAGCAGGAAACTAATGCAGAAACGTAAAGGACACCAAAAAAATGATGTCGCAGTTCAGTGCGCACACCTACTCTGCGGGGCTACGCCCAGACATTGATCAATCCACTAAGTTTAAAAGATTACAAAGGACCGAACGGTCTTACACACTCAACGACTCCCTCCTTGACGATGTCCCCGTTGCCTAGAATCTCCTTAGAAATCTTGATCAGCGAGCACCACTCGACTTGACAGTTTCCTCCCGAAACCAAAGAAATCTTCTCCCGAAGAACCAACTCGAAAGTGTTCTAACAATTTGTCGCAACATATCAAGCGACACTTAACATTACAATCTCATTCTCACATGAACACACACAACTTTTCTTTTTTCAGCACACAGTCTGCATAATACTTTCAGCACATTGTCCATCTCCTTTTTCTGCCGTTCAACCTCTAATACAAAAAAGCTCCCAGCTATTAATCCCACAAAGTCAACTCTTGATTTTGAGCAAGCAAATCCTCTTATTTTCAGCCCTTAAGCATGACAGCTAAATTTTCCTTAAGTGGCTCACCAATTTACAGTGCCTACCAAAACTTACCACCAATTTGCCAAAAATAATTTTCAAACAATTTGCCAAAAAATAAGCCAATCACAAATTACACTAACAATCTCACCCTTTGGCTATTTTTGGCAAAACTAACATAAAAAATCTATTACAAGATAGAAGATAAAAAAAAAAAAAAAACAACTAAGGGGGTATTAATAGTTCTCCTCCTTTTTGACAAATACAGCCAAAGTTAAAAGGAATACTAATAAAATAACCTTTTAGAAGCTGTTGCTCCCCCTGAGTCTTCTACGAGTCTTACTCCCCCTGAATGTAACACTCTCTTAAACTTGATATTATCACCTGTCAAATGCTTGGACCAGCCACCATTACTACACACACAACCATTAGTACATGCTTCTAAAGAAGTATAAGTCCTATGACACCTTAAATCAGATTTCCTTACCCAAACACGTCTAGGAAATTTGTTTTGCACATCAATCCTTGCTTTAGGTGTCCTTCTTGAGTTTGCGGAATTTGGTGGATTCATGAGCATACCTCTCTTCAAAGCATTCAAATACTTATAGCATCTTGGTCTTATATGGCCAGCTAAACCGCAGTAATGACATATGGGAACAAATCTTTTACGTCGAGGAGGTGAAATAATAACCTTCTTATTGAGGGTTGTCCGAGGTTCAGAAGCATGTGTCTCCTTCACAAATACTGTCTTGGACGTTGAACATTCAACGGTGTAGCCAAGTCCATGACGATCACAACTTGCTTTTCCTATAGAGAGAATATGATCCAATTTGGTGGTGCCGGAATTCATCATCTTCAAATTTTTCTGAGTGCTCTCTAGTTCAGCTCTTGTGTCCTGCAACTTTTTCTCATTTTTAGTAGCTTGAAATTCATTGTTAACGGCAACCCTCTTAAGCACATCATTCTCTTTAACAAGCTCACCAACTTGCTCTCGTAGAGACTTATTCATTTCACACACTTTAATCCATTTGCTGAACATGGTCTTATAGGATTCTTGTGTGGCATCAATAGTCAACTCCTCACCATCACTGTCACTTTCAGAATCTGAAAAATCTCCTCCGTTTTCACTGTTCACAGAATCTGTTACAGGCAGTGTTGCAACACTGTCTGCGACACTTTTTGTAACACTGTCTACAAAAACACTTTGATCAGTATAAACATTGAAAGCAACATAGTTGCTCACATGGTCTTCATCCTCCGGACTGCCTTCAGAGTCTTCATCACTCCATGTAGCATTAAACGACTTCTTCTTCTTCTTGAGGGTGTTGGCACACTCGGATTGAATGTGGCCATATCCGTCGCATTCCCGGCATTGAATACCCCTGTTTTTGGTCTTCATCTCTATGTTATTTGCTGCAGCTTTATTCTTCTGAAAGTTGCTGGAATTGCCATTTCTTGAATTCTCATTCTTCCTATTGACCTTCTTCATCACCTTGTTGAATTTCTTCGACAACTTTGTTATGGACTGGGCCAAGTCTTCTTCATCATCATAATCAACTTTGGCTTGTAATGTAATACTTTTCTCCTTCTTTCCTTCCTTGTTTTCATCCAAATTCATCTCAAAAGTGCGCAAAGAACCCATTAGCTCATCAAGTTTCATTGTTTGGATATCTTTGGCTTCCTCAATAGCTGTCACCTTATAAGCAAACCTCCGTGGAAGAGACCTCAAGACCTTCCTCACAAGCTTCTCCTCTGATATTTTCTCTCCAAGGGCAAATGCCTCATTAGCAATATCACACAATTTTGAATTGAAATCAAAAATTGTTTCATCTTCAAGCATGCGTAAGTTTTCAAACCTAGTAGTAAGAATTTGAAGCTTTGATAGTCTCACGGCTGTCGTGCCCTCATGCGCCATTTGCAGAATTTCCCAAGCCTCCTTAGCCATCTCACATGTAGAAATGAGCTTGAATTGATTGGCATCCACTTCATTGAAGATGGCATTAAGAGCTCTTGAATTGCTATTCGCCAATCGATCTTCTTCAGTAGACCATTTCTCTTCGGGTTTCATAGCTTCTTCTCCAGCATCATTTTTAGTAACGGGGTGCGTCCAACCAATCAACACAGCACGCCACGCTTTCTCATCAAGTGCTTTGATGAACGCCTTCATACGAACTTTCCAATAAGAGTCATTGCAGCCATCGAGGAGAGGAGGATGTGAAACTGAACCACCTTCTCTCAAAAAATCCATCCCTGCTATAACAAACCAACTCCCAAAATCTCACAGGCAAGGGTAATAGTTCCTTTTTGTTTGACTATGTTAGGTTCGTTTTTATCCTAGTGTCACAAGTGGTGTTGCAACACTTTACTGTAACACTTTTTGTGACAGAAAATCTAAAATTAAACCAGCAAAACAGTAAAGCAAGAAACTAATGCAGAAACGTAAAGGACACCAAAAAAATGATATCGCAGTTTAGTGCGCACACCTACTCTGCGGTGCCACGCCCAGACATTGATCAATCCACTAAGTTTAAAAGATTATAAAGGACCGAACGGTGTTACACACTCAACGACTCCCTCCTTGACGATGTCGCCGTTGCCTAGAATCTTCTTAGAAAACTTGATCAGCGAGCACCACTCGACTTGACGGTTTCCTCCTGAAACCAAAGAAATCTTCTCCCGAAGAACCAACTCGAAAGTGTTCTAACAATTTGTCGCAACATATCAAGCGACACTTAACATTACAATCTCATTCTCACATGAACACACACAACTTTTCTGTTTTCAGCACACAGTCTGCATAATACTTTCAGCACATTGTCCATCTCCTTTTTCTGCCGTTCAACCTCTAATAGAAAAAAGCTCCCAGCTATTAATCCCACAAAGTCAACTCTTGATTTTGAGCAAGCAAATCCTCTTATTTTCAGCCCTTAAGCATGACAGCCAAATTTTCCTTAAGTGGCTCACCAATTTACAGTGCCTACCAAAACTTACCACCAATTTGCCAAAAATAATTTTCAAACAATTTGCCAAAAATAAGGCAATCACAAATTACACTAACAACCAGTGAGATAAAAACTAAATATAACATATTACATAAGTTAGTAACAGAGTAACCTAACTTTATAAACTAATAATTCTGTTGAGATTATAACCTTCCAGAATATGTAAAATATCTAGTAAAAAAATATTACGTTAGAATATATATATATATATATATATCCAATCCATAGAATATGAAAAATAACTTTTCAATTTTTTAGTAGAATAAATGATGAATTTAAAATCGATGGTAGAAATAAAATCATATTATCTTGTTGATGCTATCACTGAAAAATTCCCTTTGATTTAGTTCAAACCTTTTAAGGGTGTCCAACTACAAATTTTTTTAATGTTTAGATTTCCCAAATATTTAAATAACCGTTAAATTTAGTCATGAACCCCGATTTGGACAAGGCTCGTTTTTAAAGATCCAGATCTTTGTTTATGATAACATTGAGCACACAAACGCTTGCAGATAGGACTGACATCTGGCATATTTTTTGCCTTTATTTTCTGCTAATTAGAGAGACTGTGTGGGACTGTAAGTGGAAGAGAGATAAACATTAGGGTTTATCACTAATTGTTGATAATTTGGAATTGTCTAAATGGTGGAACCCGAATTTAGAGTTAATTAGTTACTTGACGAGCACTAAAAAGTAATGTTACAACAGAATCATGATGTTTTGTAATACATTTATTTATTTAACGCTATTAACAAAATTATCCCTTCACCACTCTCAAAAAGAAAAATTATCCCTTCATATTTGCATAGCTTTATCTCCGTTTATATTGACTTATCAGTAGTCAATTGTTTTTATTTTGTCACGCGTTTTCTCATGTCGACCATATTTATTTTTGAAATTTCTTTTCACGCACCGAACTGGCTTGTCCGGTACTCTTGGGCAACTTGGCACGTGCTAATTTATCACCATTAACAAGAAATTAAATCAATTTAACTAAAACGTTGAAGTCTTTTTAGGAAAAAAAAAGTTCATTTCATTAAAAAAATATTACATTCTCTAGTGGCAAGTAAGCTTCATTTCATTAAAAAAAATATTATATACTCAAACTAGTCGCAAGTGAGCACCACTTACAATATAATTTTTATCGCGAACATTGACTAGATCCACCAGTAAAGATAGATGAGGCACATGGGCGAAACACAAGTGCCGAGACTCAATGAGGAAAGACCCGCTCGGCACATAAATATTGAGCGCGACCAAGACTCGTTAGACAAAACCACAACAGTCGATGGATTAATCCAGTCGACCGAGACCAAACCCCAAATAATAGGGACACGAGCGACACAACAGAATCAAATCTAGTCCGATACCATCATCCATGCCATTGATAAATATATGGGACACATTGATAAGCTCGGAAGGCGGGAAACCACCTCCGTCATTACAGAACTAACACAATAGCAAAACAACATAAACAAATACCAACAAGCTGGAAGTATGAACGCAATTATTATTAAATAATAAAAACAACAAAAAGCATAATTAGCCATAGCCAACAAGTAGGACTCAATAGCAACAAATCAGCCATCGCGTCATAGAGTAGGCAATCGAATCTCTGAAGAGCTGCCACAAAAGCGCCGAGAGTTCGGTGACCTGCCAGAGGCGGTGTTAAGACTCTGGCGTAAGAAGAAAACCAAAGAGAGAAACCTTAATCTCCTCTACGAACAAGAGAGAGAGAGAGAGAAAAAAAAATTTGTTTTAACTACAACTTTGAAGTCTTGAACCAATAGTTTTGTAAGTTCTAGAATAGGCCAAGAATGTGATATTTAACGTGGTCACGTCATTTCGCTGCACCCTTCCATGATCTTTTATTTACATAGTTTCTAATTGTATATTGTTGAGGTTAAATTTCGTACCTCATTTTTCACTATGCACGTGAAAGATGATGGAAGAATGAGCGTTGTCATTCGCCTATGACATTTCTCACCATACATGAAATTGGACAGACAAGTCTCAAACGAGTCTCAAGCAGACGACAAGCCATTTATCAGTTCAAAACTTCCCATATCATGAGATGACTTAGAAGAACGACTCTAGCACATCAGAATCAAGCCACCCGATGGACCAACAGCTCGTCCAGCGAGCTTCCCGAATTGCATGGATGACTTGACGCCCAAGTTACCAGATAAGAACCATATTATGCATGAGATTATCTCCCTAAATCTCAGGGAATCTCATTTAATCCCAAATATCTCATCTAGAAAAGGGATTATCTCAATCATAATTCAAATATTCAAACTTCAGGCGTATCTACAGGATATCTCCTATGAGAATTCAAACAGAAGATATTATCTTACAGAGATTCAGCCAACAAGCCTATAAAAAGGGATTAATTCACGTCAATCTCATTCCTCATGCATGCATATTCATGCCCAAAGCACCACGCTAGCAAGCCCTAGCCTCCTATGGCGTTCTCCACGCATTCTAAGGCATATAGAGCACTTTCTACGGAGATTTGGCTTGTTTTACCCAGAGTATTGTTATTTTTCAACGTTCTCCTCTTCTCTCTTCCTACTTTTCTCTCAATGACATTGTACTTTTTCACTGATATTAGTGGAATCGTCATCGAAGACCCTACAGTGGACGTACCTAGATTCCTCGGGGAACCACTATAAATATCTTGTGTCTCTGTTTCTTATTTACTTTTTCCTGCTTTTATTATCTGCTACGCGATATTAATTCACTGTTTGGTTTGGATTCAGTCATTGGCCTTATATAAATTCAATTGTAGAAATCACCCTCTACAGTTTGGCACCCAACGTTGGGCCTATTGCTGCAAATTCAGACACTCCCCCTGTGATAGACATAACGAACGATGAGAACAGGCCATGTCATGATCGAGAAATTTATCAGAATTATTGTATCCATATGAATATTTTTATGATAAGTGCTTGTTGATAATAGTAGTAAATAGCAAGTTATAAGTTAAAAATCAGAAATTTCTGAACTATGATATAGTTACAGATTTTTGAACTATGTTCAAGAAAGAAGTATGGAACGTTGTGTTAAACTCACAAGTGGGTGAACACATGAATATTAAGGTTAAGAAATGAAAAGGAGTTCAAAGACATCAATTCTAGGGTTTTAGACACAATCGGAACGAAAAAATGGACGAAAAAAGGGGTTCAGAAGGCCGAATCGCGTAAATTGGGGTTTCGACTGCTTTAAGTGGACCTAGTCAAAATTTATTGACCATGAGTCAACCAAAATATCATCCTCAATAGGTTATTCAATAATGGTCAAAGTTGACTAGGTTGACCAACTGTCTGAAAAATGTAGATAAAACGCGCACTAGACAGGAAATTAAGCTGAACCAAAATAAGATAATTATGAAATCAATCAACAGTTGAGATTAAAAGTGATAAAAGAATGGAAGGATTAGATTTGGACACATGGGAAGTGAGAGGAAGGAGGTGGCCGGCGAAAGCTTAATGGAGAAGGAAAAAAATTTGACTTTTCTTGCAAAATGGTCCTTGGAAAAGTCAAAATTTGTATTTTTTTGTCCCTACTTTTAGATGGTTGGTTCATTAAGGGAAAATACATAAGGCAATAGTCATTTTTCATGCACAAGAATAGAGAGTGACCAACCAAGAGAGAAAGAAAGAAAAAAATTCACCAAAGTGAGGAAAAATGTGATTTAAGCGGAAATCGACGGAATTACCAAGGAATAGAATCACCGAAGCTTGTTCTTCATTCCCTAAGGTGAGATTTTAAGTTTTTCCTCTTATTTCTTCTTCGTTGGCAGCTGTGGAAGTATAGTGAGTGCATGAAATTTTTTTTTACTTAGAATGGAGATATGCTTGTAATGGTTAGGGAACTTGAAATCTAGTGAATTAAGGATAAATTCTAGGTTATTGAACTTTTTTTTCTAGCAAATCTTGATATGGGGAAACCCTAGAGTCATCATGATGTTGATGGTGTAATTGAAAGAGAAAGAATGAGAATTATGGTTGATGATGGAAACAACGGATAAAATGAGCTAAAGTTAGCTCGGGAAACCTAGAAAAATAGGCAGAACTCTGCCGAAATTTAGTTTCAACATTTTGAACTAAACCAGTTTTCATGAGGAATAAGGGATTAAGATGTGAAAAGTAAGTTGATTCGATAATTAGTGATGTGTAGAAACCTAACACAATGAGAATTCGCAGTTTTGGACCAAAACTGAAAATTAGGCCCATGACTGAGG